AACAGTATTAATAATATAAGTTATTTGTTTGTCAGTAATATTTTTGGTATTAGCAATATTGGCTAACTGTATTGCTTTATTTTAAATCAGTTTGATTTGCTGAGTGTACTTATTGTCTAAAGTAAACCAACACCCTAAAAATTTGAAGGGCTAATAAGTAGGAATAGAAGTAAGGTTGGAGTTAAAAAAAGAGATAAATGTATAAGGTTGTTTCAAAATAAAGATGGACTTAGATAGGTTGGCTTGAATATTGGCTATTTTATAAAAAGAAGCTGCTGTATTAATAATTTTGTCAAGTTTATCTTTAGATTGGGTAATCTATATAGTGTCATCCATATAAGCTAAAACTGATACAGAGGTGTGAAGATGGCTAGTAGATGGTAGAGTAAGAGAGGGTTGCTATAATAAGAAGAGAGTATAACTAGGAAATTGGATTAATATATATGTAATAAGAGAGTTATAGTAGATTTGCCAAAATAGAGGAGTAATAGTTTTTCTTGGTTAATACTATTTTTTACAAAGTAAAAGTTAGTAAGATCAAGATTAGTAATTACTCAGTTGGTATAGTTAAAGAGGATATTAAATAAAATATTAATCAGCTACTAAGGCATTTGTAGTTAGATAAGGGATTGTTTGAAAAGCTTAAAGTTGACTGAATCATATACTTTGCTCATATCTTGTAATAGTAGCCAGAGTTGGTTGGATTGGCAATTAGCATCTTTGATGATATTGTTAAGAATATGTATAGAGATGGAAGTAGAGTTGCCAAGAAGAGCAACATAGTTGTAGGGTAAAAGAATATTGTATTGACATAACACATTATTAAAGTGGTTTGTAAGAAGTTTCTATAAAGTTTTCTAATGTGTTCTACTAAGCTAATAAGCCTAGTATTAGATAGATCATTGTCAAATATAGGTTTTTTAGAAATAGGAAAGATATAGCCCTCTTTCTATTGTTTAAGTATAGTATGGAGTTTGAGGCAGCAGTTAAAAAGAGAAGTAATTGCAAGGGTAAAGAAAAGGCCAGCATGTTTAATTATTTCATAGCTAATGCCTGAAGGACTACATGCTTTATTATTGGGGAGTTGGCTAATGGTAGAGATTATTTCTTCTTAAGTAAAATCAAGCAAGATGTTAGAATACTATTCAGAATTGATATTGGGTTTGGGGTTGTACTCTGATTGCCAGTAAGATTGAAAGATGTTATAGTTAATATTACTAGATGCAGTCCAATCATCAAAATATTGTTAAATATGTGATTTAATAGTTTTGAAGTCAGTAATAATATCATTGTCTAATTTGATATTGCTAAACTTGACAGGGTTTTTGTAGTGATTAAGAATACTATTAATTATAGAAGTAGGGTAAAATTGAAGTTTAGTACATCTTTTATTTATAGATTCATTGATCTGTTGTTTGATTTCTTTGATATTTTCGATATTATAGGCATAGTAGATGTTTTTTCATTTATTATTAGCATCAGAGATCCATGATGAAAGAAGATGATGATATAGAAAGATAGGGGGTAATTGAAGACTAAGTGTTTGATTTAGTCAGAGAATATTAGAGTTTAGATTAAGAGAAATTGAAGAATTGTTTTTAAAGAAGTATTTGATTTGGCAAATAATGTTGCTAAGTTTTTGAGGCTTGAGTGTAGTAGAGAGGCTTTGCAGGAAAAAACATATTGAAAGTTGCGAACAGTAAATTTTTTATTAGGGATATGTTTAAGTGCAGCTGAGATAATACTGGTTTGGATTTTATACCAGGTAGATTTGATAGATTTGTTAGTAACTACAGAGAGAGGAGTAGAGTTAGAAAGGAGGTTGGTATAGATCTGATTTGAGAATTTCTCCTATTTGTTGAAGCTCATTGCTTTGTAATTAAAAGCTCTTTGATGAGTTCAGGTTTTGTGTCTGCATTGGCCAGATAGAGCATAAGGAAATGACTAGCAAGAAATTAAGATTTTGTGATCACTAAGTAAGTTAGTATTAGTATTATCTATTTTAAAGAAGATAAGGTAAGTTAAGATTGTGTGGTAACTCTAAATATAGTCAATTTCACTACTATATCTAGAGCTCTGCTATGTAGGGAAAGAAGAAAAGATGTAGGTAGCAAAATTATACATGTTGTTAAAGGTAAGAAATTGAAGAAGTTTAAATTTGTTAGAGGAAGGGAGTGTTGTATTTGCAGAAGCATTAAAATCACCAAGAATAATAAGAGGTAGATTGGAAGAGATTGCTTGCTGAATCTATTGTATAATGAGATTTTGAATTTTTAATTTTGTAGTTGGCTTGTTGCTAGAAAGGTAAATAGAGATAATATGGAACTTGAAATCATATTTGAAAAAGAGATCTATGAATAGAGTATATTCAGAGTAGCTATTGATCTTGTAAATGTAAGAAGTAAGATGATTTTGAATTATAATAGCAGTGCCTGCTTTAGAACTATCTATGCAGGACCAATAATAGATGTAGAATTGGGTTAAGTGAGATTTGGAGTAATATGAGTTGTTAGCAAGTTTGGTTTCTGTTAAGCAAATGATATCAAGTTCATTAGCTAAACAGTATTTCTTCCAAATTTGTTGTTTGAGCTGTTGATTAAATCTACAAATGTTGTAAGTGCAGACAGAAAGGTTAAGAAGAGAAGCAGTTAAGTAAAAAGAAGTACATAAGGTAGTAGTAAAGTTGTAAAAGTAATGAGAAGAGGATTTAAGAGAAATAAAAGTTTAAAATAAATAATTTTAAAATAGGGTACAATTACATGGTCAAGAAGTAGACAAGGTTCTTCTAAGAGATAGATATGAGCTTCACTATAGTCATTTTTAATTGATATAGCAATTTTGTCTTGAAGATTACCCCATAGACCGGTTTTGAGTAGATATAGAAAAAAGAAGTTAAAAGTTTGGAAAGATGAAATTAGGGGAAGTTGTTATAATATAAGAAATTTGTTGAAGCAAGTGAAAAGTTCAAGACAGGTAGGAGAAAGTGTAACTTGAATCTTAGAAATATCTTTTACAAGGTCACTCACCATATATCCAGCTTTTATAGTTCCACAAGAGTTAGAAGTACTTTGGTTTAGCATTAAAATACTATTATTATCAAAATCTTTTAGATAAATAGGCTTGTTTACCTGCCTACTTATATCATTTTTTTTACTAACTACTAAGAGTATATTATTTAGTAAGATGGTGGCTGCTTCAATGTAGTTTGTAGAAGACAAGTTTATTAAAAAAAAGACTCAAGAAAAAGTAAGTCTAATATAGGAATAGGGTTAAAATTAAGGTTAAATTTTTGTTTGAGGAAGTTTTTTGCCTAAGGGTAAATGGCTTCTTTGTAATATTTGGAAATTTGAAAAAAAGTTGGTAATTGGTTTTTAATTATATTATAATATATAATAACATGTACTAGAAAGTAGGTGTTAATAAGTTTGTGAGTAAGAAAGTTGATAGCATCATTTTTATCTTTGTTAAGAATATTGTGGTTTTGTGTAATAGTTGTATGATATAGAGAAAGATATTTATAAAAGTAATAACTATGATGTCTTGGGCTAGAGGCAATATTGTTAAGAGAACATGCTTCTTGTTCTGTTATTTTAGCCAGTTCTTCTAAAACTTTGGTAAAGCAAGATTTGGTGAAGGAAGCTTTATGATTTCTATCGATATAAAATAGAGAAGCATTAAGAGTAAGTTGTTTAAATGTTTTAAATTCTTTTTTAGAAAAGATATTAAGTGATTAGTTAAGTATGTTCTTGTATAGCTGATTTCTATTGTAAAAGAATTTTTCATTTAAGTAAGGGCAGTCTCTGCTATTACAGGAGAGCATATGAAAATTGGTTGCTTTGGTAGTTTCATATTCACGTTGAAGAGAGCCTTGTGATTTTTAAAATTCAAAGCTATTAGGGTAGTAGTTTGATTACTTGAAAAATGAGTTGTTTATAAATTTTATTTTTAAGGAAAAAGTAAATTTCTGTTTCATCAGGTAAAGTACTGAATTGGTAAGCATAGTTTGGGTAGAATTTGTTAAACTATTTTTTGAAGTAATCTAATAAGTCATTAAGAGATGGGATTTGGTAATTTTGAAGAAAAGTGGTTTTGGAGATATTAAAAAGGATTTGGATATTAAATCTAGAATCTGATTTAATTTCAAATAGTGAAAGATTTTTGTTAATATATTTGACTGCTAATTCGATTTTAGAGTGTTTGGGTCTAAAATCAAAGTCTTCGCAAATTTTTTGAAATTAATTGTCTAGTAGTTATTAGACAAGAATAAATGTAAACATGCAATATTAAGACAAAGTTAGATATAATTTTGGATCTTGTATAGAGGGATTGTAACAGGTGAAGCAAAATTTTCTCTGTAATTAAGTTTGGTGAAGAGAATGGTTGTGAATTAAAAAATAATATTTTTAAGTATAGTTTCTAAAAATTCAAAAGGGATAGTTGTATTTTTATCGATGTGTGAGTTGTAATCAAAGATTAATTCAGTTAGGAATTCTGGATGGGAGCCAGCCATGGTGCAAATAAGATGTTTAAAGAATGCTTTATATGTAGGTTGATGTGGTTTGTCAGGTTTGATTTTCTTTCTAGAGTAGAAGTCATAAAGATATTTTTTAAGAAATCTAAAGAACTGATAAGATAGTTTGGTTTGTAGTTTTTTGTTAGATTCCATGTCTGCAGTAATAAGAAAGTTTAGAAGCCAATCATATAATAGATTGACTTTGGGTTTATTAGAGAAGAAAGGAGTGTTAGATTGGTTTTGGTTTTGGTCTTTGTTAGTAGTTGGAAGTTGATTATTGATATTGTCATTATTTTGGTTAGTTTTTGAAAAAAGAGTACTAATTTGTTATTCTTTAGAATTAATTTCTTGGTGTTGATTGTTGATAATATTACTTGGTTGTGTTTTAGAGATAATGTTGGGATTACTGGAAGAATATAAAGGAAAGTCAATTTCCATATTAGAGTTGTTTAAGTGAAGCTCTGGTAGTGGGATAAGTGGAAAAAGATTGTTAAGAAAGTTATTTTGTTTGGTTTTTGAAGT